TGGGTCGGTGCCCTGGGAGTTAGCGTCGCCCTCGGGTTGATTTCGGACGCTTTGGCGTCTGCGGCTGATGTGCACGCGTGGATCTTCCCAGGCCACCCGCTTTGTATGCCGTCAGTGTATTTGGGCCTCGTCTCTCCGGTATCCTAATTTACTGCCGGGAACTGGAGCGGCTTAAAATACTTACAAGAAGCCGAAGGGGTTTTGTCCTGGCAGCGATCGCTAGCATGTAATTTTGTCCTCGTCCTGATGAAGCACATCTCGAAGGAGAAGAGACGACGCTCAGAAATGAGCTCTGGGGGTGGCGAAGGCAGAGGTGTGCTGTGACTTTATGACCCCTTAAGTTCCATTAGACTGCCATGAGATGGGCTTTAATGCGTTTTTTCTCCACCATTCCCTGTAGTCTGGATACTTGATCCCATAACTACAAGTTCTGTTTTCTGTGTGGCACCTGCCTGTTCACTGCATCCTGGTGGCCACTGGATTTGATGTTATGACGTTGATGTTCTTCAGCAACTCCTTGCTTTTAAGTTTTTTATTAGTATCCTCATCTTTGTACGGTGGCCTTTTGTATGCTCTTTCATGCCATCGATAGAAAGCCGTCACATAACATCTGCTCACTTTTCAAAATGAGCTGTAACTTTTTACTTCTTTTAGACATGTTTTTTTTTTCTAGGGAGCGTATTTAGAGCAACTCTGAAAACAAAAAAATACCCGCTGATGTTCTAAAAACTGCAGGTGTGTGTGCAGTTACAATGAGTGAGGTAGTGCTGCGAAATGTGGACATTTGTGTCTGGTGCCTTAAAATGATGTTGATTTGAAATAAAAGGAGCTTGTTAGTCTTATCTGAGGTTCCTATCTTTAGCATCACTGCTTTTGAGTTTGACATTGAGTATCAGTAATTTCTTCTACAGCATTGCTTTGGCAAACACAAAACTGTGTCTCTCTTTTTCAGTATTTACTGGGTCAGTCAAAACACACTACAGTTCTTATTTAACTCCTCCCATTTTGAGGAAAGGGAAACTAATCCTTCACTTGAGTTTCATTTCGGCAACTCATCCATATTCTTAGAATGTAAATAGGCAGATAAAGCTCTCTAATTAATATACTTTTAAAGGAGTTTAATAGTAAGCTTTAAGGGTTTTTATAAGCATTAAGATATTAAAATAACCCCCCTTTAAAAAAAAATTCTGTGCAACATAGTGTTCCAAACACTCATGACGTCCCACAAAAATACACACTCTATACTTTGCAAACAAAATCAAAGTTGAAATACAGCAGATGGATATGCCCATGCATGTCTCTGCATTTCCATGGAGTTTACTGCAGGGAATGTTGTTAGGCTTTAGCTGTGCAGGTAGGTCTGTGAAAGGTCATGGGTATTTTAGGTGGAATAGCTGTAATACTTAAAGGAAGAGGCAGGGATTTCTTTTAAAACGTTTTGCATTGTTTGAGGGCACACTGTCAATTTTCTTCTGTACGTGGCTGGAGTTCTGGTTTTGTTCACAAGTTTTAATGCCTCCAGAGCATTCAGATTGTTCTTTTTGTATGTGTTTGTTCTTCAGATTATTTTTTTTTCTTAGAGCAACTTCTGGATTGTGACAACTGTAAAAGCAACGACCGTTTTTTCAGTCCAGTGAGTGGACTTTTTGAACCTTGCCTGGCAAAGGAGTATGTTGTCCCTGAGACTTGTGGCCCCTGGAATATTGTCCTGCATCTTTAAAGAGGAGTTCTTCCTTCAGTGATGAACATGTAGTCACCTCTGTCTGACAGTGCCTGAAGAATTTTTGAGGGCAGTGAGAATGAATACAAGAAGAAACAGTAAATCTTCTGCTATCCATTTATGCCTTACAACCTGCCAAAGGCATGAATCAGTTTCCAAAACTAGTTGCTACTTCTGCCTATGTACACTAATTCTCATTCTTCTCCCCTCAGCCTAGATGGTATACTTTATGGCAGAAGCTGCTAATGTTTTTATTCAATACTGAGGTTAGAGTTTTTTTATTATTATTTTCACTATGCATTTTCAAAACCAACTAAAAATTCTACTTTTATCTTTGCGTTTCACTTGTATCTCCGCAAATACTCCATATTCGCGGTTTGAAATTCCTGCAGTTGTCTTTTCAGCTCTTTTGCATTTCGGTGCTTTTAGCTTTTAAGAGCGAGTGTTGAAAATCTTGGGGTTTGTGCTCATTTTAAAAAGGTTACCTCTTAGTCTGCTGTAATGCATGGGGTTCATGTTCCGCTGCTTAGAGCCATGTTTTAAGAACAAGCCCTGTAGTTCTGCCTTCTAACTCTTCATCAACAAAAAGGTTTCAATCACTCTTGTAGGATTCTGTGGTTTTTCTCATTCCTGTGTCTTGTTCACAAAGTTCCTTCATCCCTTTTGGTCACAGCTGGTTTTCAGTTTTCAGCCAAATATTGTTTGTGTTACCCTCTTCTAGCTTTGTTCTCTGCTTTACTCATGCTCTTCGCAAAGCAATGCACATTCTGATTGATGTGTTGCAGGTTTGGAGGGAGAAGCCCACTTAGATTGCCTATCAGTGTTGTGAGAAATAAGGGGGTTTGATTTATGCATGTGAGTTTCAGTCTTGCAGCTCAGTTTGTCTTTCTAACCTTGAAAGAAAGGTTTCTGTGGCTTAAATAGGAGTTTATAGAGACCCAGGAACAACACCTGCTTGCAGGGAGGGCTGAGTTTTGCTCTCTTTACTTCCCCATCTTGTTCTCTTTAATGTTGTGCTCCAGAGTGCCTTTCTCCTGCATCTAGTTTATTTCTAGACAAGCCTTACAGCACCTTGCACCATGGCATGGTGGATCTGTCTGTATCTGCACTGACTCTGCAGCAAACCAGTTCTTTTTCAAAATTGGAGCCAGTCTACTGTTAGCCTGTCGCACCTGAGTGTGTTAAAGGATGTTATTTTAGAACCTTAAGTGTAAAGAATATCTGGAAATTGATTCTTCTGTAATTGGAAATAAAATTTTCATTAATTCTACATGTATCAGAATTTCATCCTTGTAGTTCCAAAGTTATAGTCAAAAGGATCGATGAATTTCAAAGTGTTAAATCCCAGTCTGTGCTTATGTCTTGAACAAAAGAATAATACTGATCTATTCTGGCTGAACATATTTCTTAGTCTTGTGTTTGCAGCCACTTACTTTTTTTCCAAATGTTAGCTGTGTAGCAAAGTTGTGTTGGTTTTGTTGTGGTTTTTTTTTTTAATAGTTGTGTGTATTTCTGCAGTCTGGGTAGATTCTGGGGATAGACACCAGCACTTGGACTTCTAATCCTGTATGGGCCATGTGGCTGTGGGAAGTTCTGCCACCTATTTTGGTCTATGTTGCAATGTAGACGAGCATTACTTTAGGTCATCACAAGTTACTACATTTAAAAACCAATTTGAGCTTTATTTAATTCCTGTCACCAAAGTATGGGAGAATCGTAGTGTGTAAATGTATATTTAAAATGTAATTTTGAAAACTTCTGCATTGTTGACCTCCCTCTGTGGATAAAGCTTTGATCTCCCAAATGCTGTGCATGCTTCATATTTTTTAACAATCAGCAGGGCTGCTGAATGGATGACTTCATTACAACAAGGTGTTAAAAAATCTGCTCCAGTTCCTGCCTTAATAATTAAGGAACCACTGATCTGGGTTCACTAGAAAGTGGGTTTGCTTTTATTTTTCTTTGGGCAAATGAGGTTAGGAACTATCAAATGAAGTTAAATAACTCGGGAGAGCATTTGCTGCTTCTTTCTTCTAAGTTTCTTAAAATGCTTACTTTGCAAGAGTCCGCCCATCTTATCTCTGTTTCACAAAGATCCTGCTCTTGCTGTGAGCTGCCGTTGGATGCTCTTAACTGCACTGTGCTTCGCATTGGGTGGGTCCTTTTACTCATGAGCAGTTGTCATAATTTTGGTGGTTCTGCCTTGACAGAACACTTTTAAGCGCTCTCATGGTTTGGGACAAGATGGTTCAGCACTCAGCAAGATTAAACCTGAGTTGCTTGTGAAGTGTAACAAAATCTCTTACCATTGAAGTAATCCACTATTAATAAAAGTATCTATGCATATAATTCAGTTAAAATGCATTTTAAATTGTCATACTTTCAACTTTTATTTCCATGAAGTTCAGAGGAAGAAATGAAGTTGTTTTTTGTAATTTCTGTCTAAATGCTACATTTGGAATGAATCTAGCACATCTGTGTAGCGAGAAGAACCTGTCACCTAATTGTCAGGTGGACGTTGCACCACAGGTTTTTCTCTATAGCAATTTGAATTATGAATAAAATCAGTGAATTCAGCTGTAACTAGGTAAATCTGTCACTTAGCAACTAATAGGGATCATGTGAGTCACTGCTGTGGGTATTCTCACTTTGCATATTTTTTTTATTTTATTAGTGAAGTTTGGTTTCAAAGTGTTTCAACTGTATGCCTTTTATTTGTAGGAGCAAAGATCAAATTTGTCACCACTGTCTCAGAGGGGTTTTCAGGTAGGCTTGGCATAAAGTTTGGTTACTTGGAAAGATGAGCAATAGTGAAGATGATGATTGGAATGGAAGTCCAATAAAACAAATATCTAATGTGACCATGTGGCTTTATTATTGTCCATTGTGTAGATCAGCATGATGCTAAATCAGCAAGGCTGCTCTTGAGCAGAAAGCAGAGATGAAGAAAACTTTATTTCAATAATGTCTACAGGGAATGAGAATCTTGAATTTAAGGGGTATTTCTGCATCTTAAATTCAACAATTTTAAAGTCTGATCTCTGTCTTGACTAGGGTATATAGTAACTGAGAGAGACAGACAGGCAGGACTTAGTTTGTCTTGTTTTAAAACCTTTGAGTTAAGGAAGAAAATGACATTTTACTATTCGGGATTTCCAGCTAGTTCTGACCATTTCTGTAGGAAAACCTGACTGGGATAAAAGATACGCATAAAACGTGAAGAACTTGATTAATAAGACTAGAAAGAAAAAGAAATGTTTTGGTTAAAGGAGATGGTGTGAACCTCTCTTAGTCCAAAGTTGTCTTAAGGAATGCAGAAAAACAACTGCAGTAACAAACTGGCTGGTTTTGGGGGTGCTGGGAGTGCAGAGTGGAGGGCAGGGGAACATGTGTGAGGGATGATGAATTCGGCCAGTGGAATTTTTTTTTTTTTCGGTGGCAGAAGGCAACTTTATTCTGGATCTCTGATCTGTCTCTTTTCTCTAGTTCTCAGGCAGACGCAACTGGAATGCAGCAAAAGACTTGCAGAGATACAGACATCATTACCCGGTATGGATTAAATGATGATGCACATGCTCATGTGGCTCTTCCTCATTTGCATACTAAGTTTAGGAAAGCTTTCTAGATTTGAGGGCACCCTTTTGTCTTTACATTGACAGGCTCAGAACCTTTAGAGGATTTGTTTGTGAGGGGGAAAGGATGATGTGCATGTGGGCGCATCAGAAACAAGCTGTTACTTCCCAAAACACATTTCAAGGATTTAGCTTGAAATGTTTAGGAAACATGAGGGAAAGCAAGGAGAAGTGTTGAAGTGAATACTGCCTTTTAAGAGATTGCTGCTTGTTGATTTCTTGTTCTCATCTCCAGGGTCTGATAGAATCAGAAAATGAGGAGGAAGAAGAGATGTGGAACTTAAGCTTTTATAAAAATGAGATTCGTTTTTTGCCCCAGGGTGAGTACCTTGTTTGATGACTATTTGATGCAACTGTGCTGCAGCTGCTTGAATTGGTGAAAGACTAGCTTGATCCATGTGGGACAATTATTAAAAAAATCAAACCAAACAAACACACATGCTACCAACACAAAAAAAACCCCAAACAAACGAAAAAAACCACCAAGAATTTCCATTTTAAAATGTCCTTGTTCCTGCTGTATGTTCCTTAATTTTCTGTTTGGTGGTAGAAAACTAAGGGTTTTTTCTGGCTTACCAGGATGGTTGTCTAGTTAGAGAAGCTAATGCCTGTATGCCAACACCTGGCTCTGGATAATGAGCTGCCTTGGGTGACTGGCTAATTTAATTTTTATTTGGTGTCATTTCTTCTTGCCTGACTTCTTCCTTTTCTTTTCAGGTTTGCATATTGAAACTCTGCTTGAATCTTGGTGGGACAACTATGAAGTTCTGGAAGAAAACCATTCTTACATACAGTGGTAAACTGTCTGCATGAATATATTGCCTATCTTCTTTAGTTGTGCCTCTTAAAAGAGTCAGCTGTATCTGTATTCTTGAATTCAGCTTCCCAAAAGGCCCATAATTACTCTTGAGTGAAATCTCTGTCCACTTTGTTTTTATTGAGTTATATTCTTCTGGAAACAATGCAGTGGAAATCCTGAAGACGTGGGTTTCCAGTGCAGCCGTGGCAATAGATCTCAGTCATGCTTGGTCTTACAGCATACTGCAGAGCAAAGTGTTAGGGCAATGAGAAAGATCCAGATAAACAAAGTACGTTGTAATCATTGGTGTAGACAGTGCTTTTATGGGAAGGATTTATTTGTCATACAGTGTCCGTGAGGATGTGAGGTCTCCAAGAGATAACTGTGATACCACAATTTTTGGAATCTTTGGTTTTAACAAAATGGGTACCCTGGGTCGGATGTCGTCTTTGCTCACCTGGGCTGAAAATTTCTTTCCCTTCAGGCTATTCCCTTTACGTGAACATGGGATGAATTGGCGTGCCAAACCACTCACGTGTCAAGAAATCCAGGTATTGAAAGCTTTTGTCTTCTTTCTTTTTTTCTGGTTTTTTGAGGTCTGAACGATGTTAGGATTTTCCCTAAATGCCTTATATTTGAAGACTAGGGTTTTTTACATTGCTTGCTTGGAACCCTAGTGTGAATAGAGCTCACTCAAGCACTGTTAAGCATTTATCTGTCTTGCGTCTGCCAGTAGCTACACCAGCAAATGAAATGCTTAGTGATATAATCAAGCCTTGTTTATAGTTCAGGTGCCACTTAAACTGGTGCAGGTAATTAGGGAGTTGCACCTTGTACTCATTGGTCTTTCTTGTTTTCAGGCCTTTAGGAAGTCCAAGGAAGTTATGCAAAGGTTTATACGTGCTTATCAGCTCATGCTGAGATTTTATGGAATCCTTCTGGTCAATGAGGAAACCGGAGAACTTAAGAGAGCAGAGAATTGGGCTGAACGATTTCAAAACTTGAACCGGTGAGTCTCTGCTTATACTGCTGGTCATTTATTAAAGTCAGGCACTTCTTTGAGAAGAAAAAAAAGTGAAAGTTGAGAAAATCCTCAGCCCTTGAGGAATGGAGGCTTTTGTTGATAAAGTTAGCTAGCTACAGTATTTTTAACTTGGCTCAGCCTCTGACTGTAGGTCATCACACTCTGTGACTTTAACAAGTGACAAGTATAATAAGTAAACCAGCTGAGACTGGTTTTCTTTTGTATGCAGTGCAGCTGTTAACGGTAGGCATTCTTCATGTTGGTCTCCTGAATTATGAAATACAGACTTGGTGATGTTAATATTTGCTGTAGCAGAGCTTGTGTTTAAAACCATATTTTAAGCAGGAATCACTGAAACATTTTCACAAGTAGCCAAATTGCCTTTGTAGTATTCTGTTAACGTACAAAATAAGAGTGTTTCCATATGCTTCCCTGATTGTTTATAAAGCTGCCTTAACACATGTAAAATGCTTTGAATCCTTGGTTGAAAAGTTCTCTGCAAACTGATGGTAATGTTTTTATATTATTGCAGGTCTTATCATAGAGATAGTGATGACCCTTAATATTCTAGTACTCCTAATGATGTTAACAAGGGATCCAAAAGGCCTGTGCATACTCACAAAAGAAAACCAACTTGAAGACTGTCAAGTATTAATAAATAAATAAATCTGTATCTAGCTTAAGTCCTTAAGTCATGAATTTCTAGGAGCATCCTTACATGCCTGTATTCTTATACTTTTCTATGGGCTTACCCTGCAGGGTCGCTGTCAGGGACAGGGTATAGGGCTGCATGGACTTGTGTGTCTGACCCAATATGATGGCTGTTATCTACTGGTGGGTGATGCAGCAAGCCAGAATCTTTCTGAGCAGTTGAGATGATTAATCCTAGCAGTCCAAGAAGGGCTAGGAAAGTACTGCTGAAGGCAAATAGCAGCAATAGGTGCTTTAAAAGTAAGCCCACCTATACTCCCATCTGCATTGTCAGTCTTTTAATAGATCACAGTCAACAATGCACAAAACATTTTGCAGATATCCCGGAGGTTCATAGTGACTAGTAAGAATTCCACTTAGCAACTTTGCTTATCTGTTTTGTTCAGGTTCAGCCACAACAATTTGCGGATTACTCGCATCCTGAAGTGCCTGGGGGAGATGGGATATGAACACTATCAAGTGCACTTGGTAAAGTTTTTCCTAACAGAAACTCTTGTTAAGGAGACATTACCAAATGTCAAGAGAAGTGCCTTGGATTACTTCCTGTTCACCATCAGAAGCAAATGGAAGAGAAGAGAACTAGTCCACTACGCTTGGCAGCACTTCAAGCCTCGAGGCAGCTTTGTGTGGGGGCCGCATGACAAACTCTTGAAGTACAGACCCCGATCTGCCAAGTCACAGCTGCACCAAAAGGCTGAAGATAAACAGGAAACCCCTGGTGAAAAATCTGATGATTCTGTGGAAAAGGATGAGAACCAGTCTCTAGAGGAAGAACAGAACGCTGGAGATGCTGCAGACTCACAGCCTAAAGTGAATGATGAAGATGTAAAAGAGAAGATAAGTGAATGTGTTTTGAAAGGAGGAGATGGTGAAGAGGAGAAAGAGGCTTCATTTACACAGCAGGAGCAGAAGGATTTAAACAGTGAGGCTGAAGAAGTGCAGGGTACAGCAGAGAATGACTGCACAAAGGAGAGCAAGAAGAGAAAACTGGATGCAAATATGGCAGACGCTAAAAAGAGTGGACCATTGAAAAGCCCTACTGATATTGAAAACATTTCCCGTAATCTGGGAGAATGTGCAATTGATGCAGAAATCCCCTCCTCAGTTCCGCTCTTGCAAACAGAAGAGGAGCAGGAAACACTGAAAGAAGGCAATGCAGGCACCAAAGGCTCAACAGTGCTGGAGACTGCTGATGCAGCTGTAAAACGGAGGAAAGTTGATAAAAGAACATCGAGAACCAGAACGTTCAACTTGGCCATAAACCTGAACATAAACGTGAACATCGGGCCCTCTGTCTCTAGTGCCAAGTTAAATCCATCTGTTGCAAATGCCGAGGCTGAAAAAGAGAACGTCAGTGAGAGCAACGCAACTGTGGAAGTGACAACTGAGAAGGGTGGTAGTGATGCAAATGGTGGGGCTGTGAGACCCCCGGTGGGTTCCAGGTTCCCCAAGACTGGCTGGACTTCTCCAATAAGTGATGGCTTGGAGTCGAGTAAAGATCAAGTCACAGCAAGGAGTCATCAGTACCACTGCAACAGCACGGTCCTGGCAGGCAAAAGTGAGGTGGATGGGGTAGAACAGCATAAAAAGGCAGAAAACGCAAGTGAAAAAGGGCAAGCAGAAGTCACAGGCAAGAAACAAGTTCCAGAGAGTCTTGAGCAGAGCATGGCATCCATTTGTCCTGAAGAAGACAGCGCTGAGGTTGTAACACAAAAACCTGAAAGCTCTGAGCATGCGGCAGAACCTGATAAAGAGCAGGTAGCAGCAGAATGAGACCAGCACGGCAAGCACTCAGGCAAGTGGAGATGACGCTGCCCTAACTGCTAGGAGCCAGCTTTGGTGATTTTGATAGCAGAAGTATACGGAAGAAGAAACTTCCTTTGGGCTGATCCAGGCTAGCCCCTGTTGGACTTTCATTCTTCCACACTTTTTTAATCATCTGTAGTAACTTCACTGAGACCCAGCCCTTGGTTACCCTAAAGAGGAAAACTAAGTTAGTCATCTCAGACAGGCTGTGTCCTGTTCCTGCTTTTTATCTAATGTTCAGGACTGTCTTGGAGCAACAGGGATTTTTGCACTTTGCTTTGATTATGGTATGTCCCTTCTTAAAGAGAAGAGGAAAACTGATCTGTTTTCTTGTTTGAAATAGTCAAGTATTTATTAAATACATGATTTTTAATGTAAGACAGCATGACCTAATTTGCCATGCCTTTCTATTACCATGTAACTTCTATTTGCTGTTTTGAAAGGCTGTACCTTCCCAGCAGACTTATTCCTGGCAAAGGTGCTGTTTGCCTGAAAGCTGCTGTTCTCTAGGGTGCAAGGTACTGAGTAATTTGTTCCCTTTATCCCCCACAGAAATTGCTTTGTAGTGCTTGTTGGAGTTGTTAAGGATGTGAATCGTCTCTTGGTTTCTAAGAGATATACCTTCAGACTTTGCATAAAGCTGTCTAAAGCTCTTCTTCCCCAGGTTTTTCCACCACTTCCAGACCCTTGATAGTCTTCCACAGATATTTAGGTCCACTACTGGTTCAAATGCTTGCCTTCCTCAACTGCCAAAATAGAACAAATATTTGTCGTTGCATTTTTTCAGACTTTGCTGTTAATTTGCAGTGGCCTGTGGGGCTATGTTTTCTGCAGGCCCATTGCATGAAGTTAGATGTGTCAGATTTAAGCGACTTCCTAGTTAGGGCAGGATTGTTTTATCATTAATGATCAGCATGTCAGACAGTGAGGGCACATTCGAGTGCAGCATGTCTGGAAACCACTGGGCTTTGTGGGGCAGTTAATTGAAACTTTAATTGGAGGAGGTACGCTTGTCTGGTTCGTTTATTTACAGCCCTCAAGAATTTACTTTCAGACCTTGCCAGCTATTTGTCTGCCTTAATGTTCCTGACCTCCCTGTTAGCTATTCTGCTTGACTTACACAGTATTCAACTGAGTCTGAAGGAGCTTTAAACAATTTAGCACTTTCGCTCCTAGAGATTTACAACAGAGGACCTGTTTCATGAAGCAGAGGAAACCGTTTCCAACAGCCAGAAGGTCTGAACTTGCTGTTTGCTCAGATTGTTTGTTTTGGTTTGGGGGTTTTTAGGTGCTCTTTGTTTTGTGTGGGAGATGGCTAGAGGCTTGCCCGCCTTGCCAGAGAGCAGATGCAGTAGCCTCTGCAACGTTAATGTTTTTCCTCTCTTTGCTCCAGCTTTTAAGAAGCTTCATCTTTCAAGGAATTTGATCAGTGACTTGCCTTCCTGGACTGTAGGTCCTGATCCAGCATGCCACATACATGTGTGTGGGAATAAAAGTCTGCAAGCTTAACATCTAATGTTTGTGGTCACACATGTGCTGGAAAAAGGCTTTAATGTTTTTAAAATACTTTTTTTTTCCCTTATGAACAAGTGGAGTTAAATAGCCAATAAGAATACACTTAACTACAGATATAAATACTTGAAGATGTTGAGTGAAAATTCTTTCATAGAAGATTCATAAGAAATTGTTAATTGTGGCTTTTGTACAGATTTATAGTAATTTTTTTATTTAAGAAGTTTTCATTGTGAATATGTGCTCAGCTGGGGCATAGATCATAAATCTTGTTACGGTGATCTGTGATTTTTGTGTTTAATGGAATTTCACTGTGAGCTCTAGTCTGGAGTGCTCAAACCAAACCATTCCCTATCATGATCAGGTTTAGCGTTTTGGCTGTAGGTGTTTGCAGTGAGTTCACACGATGTTTTCCAGCACTCAGAGCTGTATCACAGAGTCTGTTATATTAATGTCACCTATTAAAGCATGACTTTAATGCATACCAGTTTCCACTTATGGGTTTTTTTTTCATCTTTGAGGGCAGGACATGACGGTAGATCTGCCCCACCACCACCACACCCTGTGGCCATCTGCTGTTGCTTGGGCACCTCCAACGAGCGGGTGCACGGGGCTGTCCAGCGTTCCCAAGCAGAGGAACCTTGAGATAAACCTGCTGCTTTTTCCATGTGGAGATGACGATCAAGTCTTCCTCCACCGCTGTAAAACGTGGCCAGTGAATGTCTGTGGGGAAGAGACACCCCCCCACACACACATGCTGCTTGTTTAATGATGTACTCCGAAATGTTTCGGTATGTCCTGTCTCGGCTCTGTGCCGCCGTCCTCCCAAGCGTGTGTTGTGATGCTTTGTAGGGCGAACAAGGGCTTTGCTTTCGAGCAGCAGGCAGCAGGGCAGCTGCCTGGGCTGCGTATGGGGGCTTTAGTCTTGTGGGCCTTTTCCTTCAGGACGCAGGGTTGTCTTTGTGGTGATGACTTCTGTAAGTCGCTGCATCCCTTCAGCTGTGCTCCCTCTGCCTGGGGCTGTGGAAGGAGAGGAGGAGCGGTCCTCCTCTTGTTCTGCAGGGTGGGCTTCAAGCTGAATACTCGCAGGGCTCTTCCTCAGCTTGCAGCAGCCCTCCAAACCCTGGATTGCTATGAGCCATGTGTGGCTGAGGAATTTGGATCTGCTTTGCCTTCTCTCTTGCCATCGGCTGGCCTCAGTGTGAAGGAGAGAGGTAAAAGCTCTGTGCAAAGCAGTTCCTGCGACTGCGCCGCTCTCCTCCTGCAGGGTTTGTGGTGTCTAATAAAGCATTCGGTTTACTTTGAAGCCATCCGAAGGCATACAGACACATGCTCCCTTTCTGTCCCCAGCTGCCTGTTCCACAAAATCTTGTGGGAACTTAGTAAATCTTTGAGCCCTTTATCCCTCTGTTCAAGGTTGGTGCAGTACTGGCTGCTGGGGAGCTGGACAGGCACGCACTGTGTGCTCATATAAACCTCCTGGTGTAAGGATGCCAAACTGAAACCTAGTATTTCATTTTTTAAGCTTTGCTTTTCCACTTCTGCTCTCCTCTTGCTAACGTAATGAGCTGTGTTATTTCATTCCTGATGAATCTTGCCACTGTTCCTCTCTGCTTCCAAGCCCTGCTTTCGATGAAGTTGTCTTTAATCGATAAAGGGAAGCATGAAGCTATTTGCAGATGATGTTTCTTCCTGAATATATTGCCATTTGGGATCACCTAGCTGGGAACTGTCATCCTGTTCATTCCTTGCAAATATTTCAAAGGCAATTCTTCCTTTTTTTTTTTTTTTTTTGTGTCTGTGGGAATGTTTCTCCTTTTTTCTTCCTCCTTGTATCTGTCCACGATCATCTGTTCTCTGGTCAAGATTCATCTCTTTCTCAAGAAATCAGTTGGCATTCTTTAGATCTCCCTGAAAAAAAAAAATAAAAATCCCCAAAAAACAACCCAGATGTGAATACACTTCCAGAGTTGTTAAACCATCTCACAAAGCAGTAAGTGCATTTCTCTGTAGTGCATCTTGCACTCGTTACAGGTATATTAATTTCTCCAGTGAAGTTAAGTAGCCTCAGGCACTGAATAACTCTCGCTCTGTGTTGCTTTTTATCTGTCCAGCACTGAGGTGGTGATGGGCTCTGAGAAACGGCCTGGATGAGACCTAAGGAACATCTTTGTATCTCCGGCTGGAGCAGCCGAATTTTGCTCCTGCGGTGTGTCTGCAAGTCTGGCCCTTCCTCAGGCTCCCTCCCTGTTTGCTCAAGGCTGGGGCTACCCGGCGGGTCATGAATGAGAGCTTCTCTTCCCGACTGACTGCTGCTCCCCCTCCTTCTCCCACCTCCTTCCCAAACCTCCTCTCTCCTCCCAGCTCAGCCCCTCGTTGCCTGTGCTCCTGAGCTCTGCCCCTCCAGCTGGAGCCGCAGGTTTATCTGGAGGCGAGGAGTCTCTGGTTTGTAAGCTGAGACCCAGGAGGAGGAGGAGGGATCTGCTGGACCCCGGAGGAGAAAGGGTTTAGCTGCCCAGGAGGAACGAAGAGAGGCAGAGCCTGGGCACCATGGCTGGATTCTCTGCTCTTGGGCTTCTCTTCCTATGTCAGCTATTAGCCACAACCCCAGCTCAGGTAAGAAGCCTCATTTATGTCTTGTGCTCGAGAAAAAAGTCCGTAAGGGAAAAAGATAGTGATCTGCATGTGTTCTACCTGCAGGATGAAATGTGGCAATAGGCAAGTTGTTAAGAGTCTAAAGTTTATTAAAAACGTGTGTGTTGCTTGTGCTGTTATACAGAGAGTGCCTGACAAGCGCATCTGGTTTTGTACCTGTGTAGGTAGGCTTTTAGATCGTATCCTCCTGTGTAGAAACTGCTGCGTTATCCTTTCCATAAAAGTATTGTCTTCCCATTCAGGACTGCAGTTACAAGAGAGAAAGCCTTGGGAAAGGGGAGACCTGTTGATCTGTTGATGTGAGAGAAACGGTTTTCTTTTACAATCAAGTAATGGTTGCCAATGAGACTGATCTCCTGATACGGGTCTTCATCTGAATCAGAATTTCTCATTCCTTCCCTCAATCAATTTTCAAATTTTACACTTGTACCATATTTAACCCATGTTTACTTCAGATGTGAAGCTATATTAAACTTCCCTGTACGGTGTTAATATTATTGCCTGGGGAAGTAACTCCTCAGTGAGGTTTTTCATTGTGTTAGTGAGGAATTTTTGCAGTCTGGCTTGGGAATTCAGAGCTGCCCTCATCTGCTGCGAGCAGAGCTGCTTCTACAATGAAACCTTTGTTCGCTGAAGCTACAGCAAGTTGCTCTCTGGAGCCCTCTCCATACAGAAGTCATTTATTGGACCTTTCTTTCCTTCCCCCCACCTCAGACCTCCTCCAAAATCCCAGATTTTCAAATGGTATCCTGCTCAGAGAGGAGACTTTCCCTTTCTCCTTCTGTCTGCAGTGGTGTCTGCCTGGCTCTTCTAT